GGGGGGGGCGACGTTACGTTAAATTCACATCTTTCCGAATGATATGCATTTCAAAATTAATTGCATGCAAGTGCGAGCATCTTTCGTGATGTATGTATCGCTATGTAACCCGTCCGTGTCTTCCTTTGAATTATTCTCACTTAATTACGTCGCATATGCATCTCGGCGATTGTATTATTAAAGGGGTAGGGAATTTTATTTGATGTCACGCGCGAGTACTAGTTTCCCATTGTAATTCCCTTTTACTTACCTCCGAGACGGCGAGACAATTAATAAATTGTACTTTACTTACCTCCATGGTCTGCGCGTGTTCGTGTCAAAACTCGACACGTTTGCATCTGTTGTCAGATTCTATTAAATTAAACGTACTTAAAACTACGCGATACAATTTCTTTAAGAGTAGTTTTGTCACTTCTATGTTATGGTAGTAGTGTACAATAAAATGCACGAGAGAGAGAGAGAGAGAGAGATCGACTATTCAGCGTTTCAATTTCAAACGAATTTCGCGGGCCAATTTCGCGACCATCTCGATACTCTCGATTTCGAACGAGAGGTTTCGATAGTGCGGGAAGCTAGCTTTGAAGCTAGTTCGTTTTACGTGCGAAGCGGACGGAGTGGCGCTCGCGTCAGTACCGTGAACGCTTCAAAACAGAGTCGTGTTCGGTCGAGAGTTTCTTTTGATTGTGATTGAAATGATCGAGGAACACGACGAACGCGAAACGATATGCGACTCGGTGGTGAGTATTACGATCCGCTAAATACGAGAACGTTAACAGTCTCTTGGTGAGGGACCGACGTCTACGAATATCCGAATGTTCTTAGGACCTAACCTCACTTTCAGAATTCATTGGTGGAAGGCTGCCGTTTACCAGTCAGAATGCACGGGACAGACGATTGGCGTGAGTAGAACGTTCGCTTTTATTTTTCAGTTTACGTTTCGTACGACGATTCCTTTCAACAGTGTGCTATAATTCTTTCTTCTTTTCTCTCGAAATCACATACGAGATTTTGTAACAACTGTACAACTCGCCTCGCAAGTGTCATTGATTCGCATTGTCGAACCATTTCGCAGGCGAGGTACGAATATTTCTGTTGAGATCGCGTTCTCGATATACACACAGGTGATGTACATTTAACGAAATACTGGCGTTCACTACTCATGCATTATGTTTAGTTCAACTTTTAGGTTATGTTTAGGTGTTGGATGGTGATAGTTTGCGTGCACACGATTTCCTATTGTTTCCTCGGGGCTCAGTTACGATTCTACACGTTATTTAGATTTAAAATGACGAGACTTTATCAAAAATGTCCTTTTGTCATCCACAGCTCTTGCTGAAATCATCAGCGTTAAAGACGTACATGGTGTCAAGTGTTATTATGTTCACTATGTAGATTGTAAGTATAACGCGAGTTTGAGAGGGGAGGTGTTTATAACGCTTGTACATGAACAACAATTTAACTAAATGTACAATATTTTAGTCAATAAACGACTAGATGAATGGGTTATGGAAGATTGTTTGGACACTAGGAAAGTCCAGTACCCTCGTCGAGATGGGACCACACCAGGAACTGGTGCAGCGACCCCGAAGAAACAAGCACCTAGCAGACCTCCTAGCCCTAGCAGCCTTAGCAACGAGCCAGTCAACGGTTCGGCAGTTTTGCAAGCTGCGTTACAAAAGAAAATGTCGAGAAAGAGAAAGGCCACGTTCATAGAGAATGACGATTCTCAGGACGGTCCACCGCAGGCACCTGGCCCGAGGCCCACTGGTTCGTTGGTTGCACATCATCACGATGACATAGTTACTCGAATGAAAAATGTCGAGCTGATAGAATTAGGCCGTCACAGAATAAGACCTTGGTATTTCAGCCCTTATCCGCAAGAAATGGTAAACCTACCGTGTATATATATTTGCGAGTTCTGTTTGAAGTATAGGAAGAGTCGAAAGTGTCTGGAACGGCATCTGGCAAAGTGCAATCTGAGACATCCACCCGGCAACGAAATATACAGGAAAGGTTCGATATCGTTCTTCGAGATCGACGGGCGAAAGAACAAGAATTACGCACAAAACCTTTGCCTACTGGCGAAATTATTCCTGGATCATAAGACGCTTTATTACGACACGGATCCTTTCTTGTTTTACGTGATGACAGATTTCGACAGCAGGGGATTCCACATAGTTGGCTACTTCTCGAAGGAGAAAGAATCAACCGAGGATCATAACGTGGCTTGTATTCTCACACTGCCGCCCTATCAGAGAAGGGGCTACGGAAAGTTGTTGATAGAATTTTCTTACGAACTGTCGAAGTTCGAGGGTAAAACAGGTTCACCTGAAAAGCCGTTGTCGGACTTGGGATTGTTGTCTTACAGAAGTTACTGGGCGCACACCATACTGGACATACTTTTGAACATAAAGCCGCTAGTAGAGAACGAGAAGCCTCAGATCACGATAAGTGAAATATGCGAGCTGACGTCGATTAAGAAAGAAGACGTGATATCGACGCTTCAGAACTTGAATCTCATTAATTACTACAAAGGACAATATATTGTTACATTGAATAG